TGGATCTAGGGAAATTGGGATTTGGGGAAATTGGGATATAGGGAAATTGGGTTTTAGGGAAATTGGGATCTAGGAGAATTGCGATCTAAGAGAATATGGATCTAGGGAATTGGGATTTGGAGAAATTGGGATCTAGGGGAATTGGGATTTGGGGAAATCGGGATCTAGGGAAATTGAGATCGGGAGAAATTACGATCTAGGGAAATTGGAATCTGGGAAAATTGAGATCTAGGGAAATTGGGGTTTAGGGGAATAGGAATATAGGGAAATTGGGATCTAGGAAAATAGAGATCTAGGGAAACTGGGATCTGGGGAAATCGATCGGGGGAATTGCGATCTAGGGGAATTGGGATTTGGGGAAATTGGGATATAGTGAAATTGGGTTTTAGGGAAATTGGGATCTAGGAGAATTGCGATCTAAGAGAATATGGATCTAGGGAATTGGGATTTGGAGAAATTGGGATCTAGGGGAATTGGGATTTGGGGAAATCGGGATCTAGGGAAATTGAGATCGGGAGAAATTACGATCTAGGGAAATTGGAATCTGGGAAAATTGAGATCTAGGGAAATTGGGGTTTAGGGGAATAGGAATATAGGGAAATTGGGATCTAGGAAAATAGAGATCTAGGGAAACTGGGATCTGGGGAAATCGGGATTTAGGGAAATTTGGATCTAGGGGAATATAGATCTAGTAGAAATAATACTAATAGAAACAGTACTCTAGGAAAACAGTAATCCTTGCGTAGGAATTTTAATTTCGCGCGAAATATGAAAATTGTATTTACTATTCGAAATAAAATAGAATAATAATGATTGTACTCATATTAAAATTTTTATCAACAATTTTAAAGACGAGAAATTAGATCTTCCTCGCGTATGTATTATAAATATTATAGGAGACAGCAATACACTTTCCCGTAAAATTCACGGTAAATATTAAAAATTCAAACATTTTCTGTTTACGAAAAGTCGAGTACCGAAGAAACGTATTTTTCTTTTCGATTTAAGAATCCAAACAAGATGTGGGACATTTTCCCTCGGCTCCAGAGGGAACAGACAGACGTAACTGGGTCGTTGAAGAGGTCGCAAGTATAAAAGTGAAAGATAAACCGTTCCAGCCAGCCGACCGAATCAATCCATAATTTAAAACGTTCTCCTTCGTGCGAACTCTCGTAAATTATTAGACTGGAAATAAAAGTCTCACCCGGTATCTAACGTGACACGCACTTTTGCGTGCCACACCTGGTTATCGGTAAGAAACGTGGGTGGAGATAGAACGCGAGAGCTTGACAGTGAAATGGTACCAGTTGCCCAGTTTTAAAATACAACGTGTACCATTATGTGCCGGCTAAACTTCACTCACGGATTTAACATACATAAGTAAGGAGCAAACTTTACATACGCATATTACACAAACATTTATTCTAACTGATTCCGTTCCTGATTTACAATCCCTTTTACAGAGTAGTTTTTCCATTTTCACGGAAATGTGGGGACTGACCGTTTTGTGCTGGAATATCAATCTTTTGATTTTATATTCTATGGTGCAGACGCAGTTCTCAAGACTCCACTTTAGAATTATTATTAAAATTCGAGGGCGTCAAGAATGACGAATGTTCAATTTAAAACACTTCTTTCACTTACAAATTTAAGTTAAAAAAATTATCTCGTGTTCCAATAAAATGAAGAATAAAATTCGCTGAAAAATTATTGGAAGCAAAATGAGTTTTCATATGAAAAACCCTTTTTGTTATCTACAATACACATCTAGCATCCAACACCGGTATATTCACACCTTATAATCCACCCTGTATAACAATGGATACTTAATCAGCAAGGAAATCATGATTTATGTTGCAAGAAGTTCACAACGGTGCTTTCGCCCATTTCATGTTGCTTCGTGTTACATAAACACGTATGGTACACATACACACCTTTTTTCTCTCCATCCTATCTTTATATCTCCACAT